TCATACACAGCCTGATTCTTAACTTTAATGTATCAAACAGAATTTCAAATACTAGAATTACTGATTCTAAAAAGTTTACATATATGTTTGTGCTTTTGAGTGTGGCATTTAAACTACATTAGATGAAAATGTAAGACAAAATAATTCATTAATTAAGGAAAGAAAATTATTACTAACCTGATGGTCAGAAAGTGAAAGCTGGTCCTCTTGAAAACCTGTTTGCGACAGGAGATGGGTTTTGAATATGGAGTTGTGGTTCACCAAAGTTACTTCTCCAGCATCCATCCTCATCCTATCAGCAATATCATCTGGGGAAAGGGTCTGGATTAGTTCAAATCATATAATTCTTCAATAACTACTTTCTTATGAACCAACCTTTTCACCTAATAAAAATGATTCTCAAACAGCTCTACAGTCAAATGAAACCTCTCCTCCATAACTAACTATTGGCAAGTAATTTCAAAATGTCATTGTCAAAAAAGAGTCAAATGTGCAGAAATTGGTTAATTTGAAATTGACTGAGATTATTTACTAAATAGTTCAAAACCTGTACAATAAAAAGTTTAATTCGAAGTTTTAAAAGTAAGGAAACTTTCCCCAAAGAAAAATTTGACTGTTTTTTAACTGCTGAAAAAATTTCAAATACAAAAGAAAGGGAAAAAATTTCACCATTCAAAACACTCTTAACCCTGGTTTATTTCCTCCGTTTCAACTCAAAAGGTGCTTTAAAAATTGATCTACCTGAAATTTTCTTCTGCAAAAAGCATAATTTATTCAATGTCTCTTAAGAGGATATCAACTCAATTACTATAATATCGTGGTAGAACCTTACTTCATAACCATTGTGTGACCTTTGTTACTATAAAAGAGCCTGAACAGGAACAAGTAAGAGTAAGGGAACTCAAAGACTTACACTGATTATCAGCAATGAGAGAAAAAGGAAACAATGACCAGGACAAAGAAGGGAGACTAAGTAAAAGGAAAAAACAGTAGACAGAAGACTAATGTGGTTTTCGAAGGAGCATATAGGATGTTACAAGATCTACGTGTACAGACTTTTCAACCTGTTCCTAAATTGGTTACTAGTCTTCACCTTATACTGATCCCCTTTAGAGATACAAAGTTCTATGAATAATGGAAAATATTCCAGTCACAATTAATTCTCAGTGCCACTAGCTAAATGAAATTTTTAAATGCCCTTAATCAAATTAGTCGTCATACAGAAGGCAGTATAACATAGTAGGAGAGAACAAGGACCCTGGAACCAGGCTGCCTGAGTTTAAATTCTGGCTCTGCCAGTTATAAATGTGTGAACCCAGGCAAGTTTCTTAAGTTCTGTGTGCCAGTTTCTTTGTTGATATAATGGAGATAATAACAGTACCTACTAGGTCCTATTAGGAACCCTTGTAAGGTGGTTTTAAAAAATTAAAGGAAATAAAGTATTTTAAGTACTTAAAGCAGCGCCTGGCACATTGTGATGTTTGCTACTGGCTTTTTCAATAAAATGAATAAGAAAATGCTTTAAAATGATGCTAAACACAATATCCCAAACAAAAGAAAATTGTTAATAAAGTATTATGTATACTGTATTACAAAATTAGGATGAGATCTCCCTTAAAATTATTAAGCACAAAGATGCAAATATTGAAAATGTTAGGAAAACCTATTCTTTCACTCCAGATTAACTAATCAGAGTAACTAAAAGGATTGAATGACTATTTCATACTAAGTCTTACCCATGTCAGGTCTTTTCACATCACTGACTTTAGCAAAGATACAAAGTCCTATAAAAGAAGACGGAAAACAGAAGTGTTACTTTCTGAAACATCTCTTTCATATAATTATAGAACAGGGAGCCACTCAGATGTGACACTTGTATTCTTAGTAGAGAAAAATATAAGATGGCAAGTCAAGTTGATGGGAAGAGAATGGAATCTAAAACTAGACTGAGGTAGTTCGAAACATTTCTGCAATCTGTGCTACACTAAATAGCAATTACACACTACTCACAGAATCACAGAATATTACAGCAAGAAGCAGGTTAAGAGAGCCAACCCTTTGGAGATTAATTTGCATATGATCGTAAGTTAATGACCACACTGAAATTACAACCTAAAAATTCTTCCCAATCCATTGCTCTATTTCTTCACGCCAAAGCATTTATAAACAAGTGACAAATTTGTGGTAGTTCTATTAAGACTTTTCTTTCATACATCTTATACAGCAGCCAAACATAAAGCTAGTTATTTCTGAGGACAAAGACTACTTCAAAGTTGTACTAAGTACTTTCTCCCCCATCATTAATCAAACTGTTCCAAACCAAAGCCCCTTTGCCTAGATGAAATTACTTTCTCCTCTGATGTATCTAATTTGCCCAGAAAAAGGAAGTTAAAAGCCTAACTGGTGGAACTAGGTTAATAAATGTACCGTTGGAACAGACTTCTTGGCAGATTTCCAAGAGGAGACTAGGGATGCTATATATATACACACACATATATATACACACACACACACACACATATATATATATATACACATATATATATACCTATATATATATTCATAATCTTATCACCATATTTTTAGAGATTGAGCACTTCATCAATTACATAGTACTATCAGGACTTCAATCTACTGAGAAGACTGGATGATGATCACAGGTAATTCTTCATGGTCCCAATAAAAAAGTGCATACACAAAGGAAGGCAGCTTGAGCTTTTCTTGGCATAGGTACAGACTAAGCAGAGTAATCACCTGATTACTAGTCTTGCCAGGGAGGATTCCCAACGAATTTAAGCCTTAGATTTAGGCTTCAAATACACAACTTAATAAAAGGCTTCTATCTGGTAATCCTCCAGGTTATTCTTTGCCCTTCTTTCTTTTTTAATAAAGCTAAATTCCCTGGGTCCCACATTAAGGGGAAGAAAATCCTATCAACCAATAAATTAGCAGCGGCTTTTTCACATTTCACTCTTTCAGGCCATTTCATAATTGTCATAACTAGTCTTTTTTTTTTAAACAAAGCCACAATTTTAACATTTATCATATTTAAAGTTTCAAAGCACACCTGTTTGGCTTGGGTGGGGAAGTTTGGTTTTATTTTTTTCAGGCTTAGTTTTTTAAAATATTTGATCATTTTCTATTGTCCAATCATTTCAGCACTTCCAAGGTCCCTAGAACACTTTGCCTCCCTTCTCCCTCTGTCCTCTAGCTGCCCCCAGCTCTGGGGGGGTCCATGGGCCAGGATTCATCACTAGCCTTTTTTGTTGTATTAAGAATGCCAATTAAAAAGTCTGGTGCCCAGCAGAACAGTCCCATGTTAACTTCCTTTGCATTGCTGAAGTAGATACGAAGAGGGAAGCAAGAAATCAAAGAATGTTAGAGATTATGTCCAGAGATTTTAAGTGACTTGCCTGAAATCATACAGATAGGGCAAAGTGAAGACAAAAAAATTCAGGCACCTTCACTTCCAAACAAATGCTCTTTCAACAAACATCACAAAATTCATATCCTTTAACATACCCTTCTTCAAGGATTCATACATACACTCTGGCAAGATAAAAGTAATCCCTAGCTAATTCTGGGGAATCCACACTGTTTTATAATTTTAATAAGTAAAGCCCCACATCTACATTTTAATTCAGATACATCCAGCTTCTTCAGTGTGCTCATGTTACTTTCATTTTGCAACTTTGCATTTACAGTGGGAGAAAGGCTATTTTATACCCCAAGATTCAATATGAAATGCTGGACCTGGAACCTCTGATGCCACCAAATTCTTGCAAGCATAAGAATTTTTTCCCTTTAAGAAGAGTATTCTAGTAACTCATTTCCTGGCTCACACTGGTCATTTAATTTACTGAAAGAATGTAAGTAGTCTCAGGTGTTCAGATGAAGTCAGGTTAGTAGCTGAACACAAGATAAGAAATCTTAAAGAAAAAAAAAAGCAAAGTCCTGATGGTAACACAATGTAATAAGTATGGTAAACCATTTATAAGTTTACAGATATACAAAGAGGTGATCAGAAAAGTGAGTGTTTAGTGCTATGGTGAAGTTATTAGAAAGTATATATTGAGGAAAGGCATTGTACAATTAGCTTTATGAGTAACCAAGATGTAGTTAGAACAATCTATCGTATGAGAAGGGTGTAGAAGTGATCATGTGAATCATCCTACTCTGAACTCTGAAAACTTATGTATATGAAACAGTTTGTACTATATCATTATGCACCTTTTTTCATATTTTTACATGGAATCTTTCCAATTACACTCTAACACCTTAAACACTAAAGAATCACCTTGTTTCATACACAAACATTTACTGTGCACCAATAATATACAGGTTAGGAGATACAAAGATGAAAAAGAAAGGGTCCCTGTTGCTGAGAATCTCCCTATCCACTGGAGGAAACCAGAATCATTAATACTTACAGCAAGACAAAGCTGGTGCAATTGGTAGGAGATGTAGGAGTCAGGTAAAGAAAAGGTAAGACTTTCAAAGCAGTAGTCAGAGCTACATCACCTTAGCCTGAGGTAGAAGAACCTGTTTTTTAATCCATTTGCTCCCTCCACATTTAAGTCATCAGATGAGTGATACAAATTAGGTAAAAATGAATGAGGTTTCTCAAGATAAAAACATAGGCTTCCAAAATGGAACTAGAGGAAAAAAAGGGAATCTCTAAATTGGAAAAAGGTTAAGGGATCATGCTTAAAGAGATGCTTAAGGTTTCGCTTTAACTGTAATTTCTAATTCAGTGTAGTCTATCTTTCAACACAAGTCCTTAAAACAAATTATCTTTATAAAGAATAAAGATTTAGGAGATGATGCGATCTACTCCATTCAGAACATCCAACTGGAACAAGGACTCTAAGTCAAATAATTGGCAGCCTATAAAAGGCTTTATACAAATTTTATAAGAATCACCACCACCCCAAATATAATAAGTGTACCAAACATGAAGTGAAATGACTTTAACAAGGCTGACTTGAAAGTGATAAAGTAGCAAGTTATTGCCAACAAGATAGTGGAAATACTGCAGAGGCACCGATAAACAGAAATCACCAAGCTCAAGAGAAACTGGGCATATGTCCAGAGAGATCACGTTAGGGTACACCAAGAAAGAGACGGTTCAAGAGAATTACCAGGAGGCGATGAGCCAGGTAAGCAAGCGGTGGCAGTTAAGGGGATTTTCATAACCTGGGCAGGAGGGTCCAGACGTTTCTTTCTGGTGGTGGCACTAGCGATATCACATCTCAGGGAGGTATCACAGAGTAAAAGAGTTGGAGAAATGTTTACGTGAGACGCAGAAGTAGTCGAGAAATATCATTCAGGTCTCAAGGAAGGCGGGAGGTGAAGCAGGTATTAACAGAAAAGCTGAGCTTTCCGGTGAAAACAGCTTTCCCTTGAGAGAAGCCCCCGCTCTGGCGGGAAAGCCCCGAAATCCCAACCGGCCCTTTCCCCACAGGTAGGGCTCGGCGCTGAGATGGAGCCGACCGTAACCGCAAGGAGACGGCCTCTCCCCGACCCGGGAAAAAGAGGCCTGTAGGAACGGCCTCGGGAAACCTAACTAACGGCCACCCGCCAGATCGCGGCCGGCGGACAGCAGGGGGAGGGAGGGGGTCGCAGGGGGCGGGGCAGAAGAAAAAGCGCCGTCCCCACAGTCGTCCCCGCTTCCGCCCAGCCCAGCCCAGGCTTCGGGGCCCGGGCCCGCACTGCTTCCCGGCCCAGGCTCCCTCCATCCTCACCCCTCCCCCAGCTTCCCGCCGCCACTCACCGAACCGGAACCGGCTGCTATGCGAAGGGGTTTCCGGCCGGGCGCGGAACGCAAAACCCGGGAACCGCCGCGAACCGGAACCGCCTCCACAACACCGGAAGAGCTGCTCGGTGGCGGCGGCAGAGGAGGGGGGGTGGGGCCGGAGGTCAAAGAGCAGAGTTGAGGAGCCGCGGAACGCCTGCGCAGTGTGGCAAGGCCTGAGAAGCTAAGGGAGCATCTAAGGCTGTAGTCATAATTTCTCTGTTCCCCTTTCAGTTTGAGCTTTTTCTTGTTCTCGTTCTTGGAATACTGTTAGTGTGCCCTATCGTCCTTCGCTTTTTTGTGTTCCCTCGGCCGCCTTACGCGCCGCCTTCTGGTTCCGCTCGGCGATTTTTGCCCACGCTCTGGTTTCCATGGAAGCTTTTCGCTGTGGTCTTGGATCTGCCAGACTCTGGCTACCTTGACGGAGACCTGAGAGCTAAATCTAGCTCAGGCTATATCATGTTTTATTGAGGATCACAGAACGTTAGTGCTTGTAGAGGTTTTTGGAGATAATTTAGTATATAGGTCTGAGAAGTGGAGTCATTTCCGAGAGTTACAAAGTACATGGCAGATCTGGGACTATGAAACAGGTTTCTTAACTTGCAGCCTTATACTCTTTGCACCACAGCATGCTTCACTGGTCATTGGGGCAAAGTGGGAAAAACAGCATGTTGGGGTTGGCTTAGGTTAGACTCTGGAAATACGTAGAATCTTTTAGAACTTTGGAGGAATTTGAAACACTTCAGGATGTGTGAGGAAAGCTGTCCAGGGTCCAACCCAGGATTCTGCCCTCTGGACATCTAAATGGCCGTCGTGTTGTTCCTGGTACTGAACTGGTTAATCTTTAATCTGTGCCATAATTTTAAGAGAAAATAATGAGGAGAAATGTGTGTTCATTCAGACTTTTTATCAAGCCCCTCAACGTGATGGGTGCCGTGACCCAGGCCCTGTCTAGAAGTCGTAGAGAAATTCTAAGTAAGCACTGTAGACGCAGATGACAGCCACAGTCTGAGCTCGGACTTGAAGAAGGGAAGCCTCTGCAGGCACCCAGCCTTTTAGCTACTCTCAGCTGCTAGAGAAGGAGATGCTTGCTGAGTTCAGGATATCTTGCCCTGTCAAATGTATAAAAGTAGATTATATGTATCACTTCATATGTTGACATTTAATACTGTAAGGTCCTACAGCCCATTAATATTGAACATACCTGGTTCATGTCACTTTTGCCCATCTTAATCATTCCACAGGTCTGTTGATTTGGATTAAGCTCTATTTCTAGGAGACAACCATGAGTAAAAAGGAATTTCATCTGAAATTTTTCATATGTTGATTCAGTCTTGCCAGTCAGGACTCCTCAGAGAACAGGTACCATTGTCTGCTGATCATACTCCAGTGACAGATGGATTCTCTTGCAAGGAGTCTCAGTGCAGGATATGAGACTTGATGTAAAGGCAACCTTTAGGGGTCAACTAAACTTGTTTATTCCACCCCTGTTGTGATAAAATGTTTATGACTGGGTCCTGTCTTTTCCTTGTACAAGTACCAGGTGAGATTTTGGACTGATATGTGGGGATAGGCCCCAGGTATATAAGGAAGACTTGGGGGTTGAAGAAGAACAAGATTTATACTCTTCCACCCTCAAAGTATCTTGTTATGTGTTCTGCTTTTCCCCCATTTATGTCAAAGGAGTAGAACTTTTTTGAGGTAAGGCAGTTGTTGAGAAAAGTCAACACTTCTCTAATTTTTCACTGGATTTATGGGGAGAGAGTGCGGGAGGCCCTGGACAGCTAGCTGAGAGTCATAGGGAAAATGAAAGAGAATAAGGAGCACTCCTTTCCCTGAATTCCACCTTGAGGATGACCAAGAGATATTGCTTCTCAGCTGGGGAAGCTTCAGCTTCCAGCATGCTCATGCAAAAGCGACCATCCGAGACAGATGCCTTGAAGAGTCTAGATTCTGTGGAAGATCCAGACACCGTGGAAGGCATACCTGTTTTTAAAAATGATGAGGCTTGCGGTTAAACAAGAGGGAGGAATGTGGAAAGGAGTATTAGAAAATGAAAATTTTATCATAGCATTATAATTTAGGATAGACCTACCAAATTGTAAATATGAGTTAAGACACAAAGGAGAAACTCTGTGTGTGTGTGTGTGTGTGTGTGTGTGTGTGTGACAGTGTGTGTGTGAGTGTGTGTGTATGAGAGAAAGTAAGAAGTCATCTGTAAGACTAGAAACAGGGACAGTTCCCTCTATGAAGAACAGCTTGATTTAGTCAATAGTAAGTGAGTTGGCTCCTATTATCAGCAACCTTAATATGTAAAAAGTGAAACTTAAAAAATGCATTAAATTAAGAAGTTATTATATTACGAAGTAATTGCAAATATTGTAAAAAAAAAGACTTACCTTCAGAATCCATTTAATAAGAAATTTCTTTTATATATTTTAAGTACTGTCAAACTCTTAAGCAACTTATGTGAAACTTCAGAAACACATCTCTGTGTTTCTTCTCAACTTAAATACATCTGTATTGGAGTCATTTAACTGCAAACATTTATTGAGTTCCCACTATGTGCCCAATAATACACTAGAAATAATAGAGAGTTACATACGTGACATAACTTTGTCACTGTTCCAGTAGTTTACAGTCTGGAAATGCCTTAGAGATTATTTAGTCCAGCTCCTTATGCTTTTAGAAGGAATTTAGGTCTAAAAAGGTTTTCCTCAAGAAGTTAACAAATTCACTGGAGTAATCACTTCCAGCACCTACAAAATATATAGTAATATTTATTCGATAATTTTTGAGCATTTGTTATTTGAAGTCATTGTACAAGACTCAGTAGGAGATGAGAAAATAAACTAAGATACTTTCCCTGTTCCCCAGGAGCTGATGATCAAAAGAGAGATAATATGAGACAGAGCTTGATAACTTTGGTTCAAAGATACTGAATTCAAAAGAGAATGTCTTGGGGATGTAGGAAGGGAGGGGCCAGCTGATTGTGAGGCAGAGCTTCGCTGAGCTCCAGCATGGATGCAGGGCACCATGGTCTAATATCCAGTCCTACACTTTGAAATGGCATACACTCTTAACTTAGTTCAGTCTCATTAGTGTACCCAGAGTTAACCAGGCCCACAAGAAAATGGTTTATGTACAAGAATCCCAATTTATTAAGCTTTTAGGGCAATACATATCTATATATGGCAACTATGTGGGGTCTATGTCCCTTTAATCAGACTTGCTTTGCCCATGCATAAAAAGCCGCTAAGTAAAGAAATAAGCCCAGCTGGTGGACTTGTCCTACAATGCCCTGAATTTGTACAGATTATTTCTTATTTGCCTTCATCTTGCCTGCTTTTCCCATTCTTATTTTGCCCTATACCTAATACTCACCTCAGACCTGCTTTGCTCTGATGACCTGTTTGGACCTGCTTCTGTGGTTTGAACTCAGCATTATCCCATGGACAAAATTTTAATGTTCAACTTCTGCCTTTAAGCATTGAGGCTTCAGGTAAGAGCTACATTTCACCCTTCTAGTTCTCCCATTAGAAATGGAGAGTCAGATATCTTCCCGATTTGCCCCATTGGGACCTCCATTCCTCCTTGTCTGCCTTTCTCCCTGCTTGCTTCCCTCCTTCATTTCCTCCTTCTTTCCTTACATCCTTCTTCCCTCTCTCCTTTTCTTTCTTCCTCTCTACCTCCCTCCTTCTCTCCTTCTTTTTGTTCCTTCCAAGAAAACTTGTTGAGTATATACTATGTCAGGCACTGTATTTGGCACCAGGAACAAAGTAAACAAAATGGGTACATTGCCTGCCGTCATGAAGTTTATAGTCTTGTGGGAGTAAGATGTAATCACATGGTCACACACATGGTTAGAGAATTAGAACAATGCTAGTACAATGAAGGGAAGCAGTATCATGTAACCAGAGTATAAAACAGCATAAAAAACAGGAAGACCTGAGAGATGAGTATGCATTAACCAGGTCTGTAAAAGGGGACAGTAGACTCTGAAATGAGGAGGAATTTGGTTCATTGGAGGAGCACAGAGGTCAGTATGACTTGAGTGAGTGGAGGAGGAGGACTACCTGGAGAGCCGACTATAAAGATAGTAGAACAGTCGTATCATGCTGTGCCTTCTGGATCTTACTGTTCCCAAGCTGTGGGAGGTCACTGAAGCGTGACAGGATCATATTTGTGTTTTGAAAAGATCATTTTGGCCTCTGGGTTGAGGATGCATTAGAGGGGCAAGAATCGTTACCTACTTTGGTGGGATGGATAATGGCACTGCCTTGCTTCATTCCTCAGTGTAGGCAATGCAGCCCTATAGGGCATGAATGAGGAAGTCAGCCATCAAATAGCATGTTTGGCAGAGGT